GGTAATATATTTTTACCAAGTCCTGTTGGAACTTGACCATTTCATTCTTGTAAGTCTTGACTCTATGGGTGTATTTTGATTTATCATTGCCAGCCATTTCACGAACTTCAAGGTCCATTTGTTCAAGCTACAACAGAAATAAATAAGGTTCAAACAATATTGGCTGACAACCTATTTTGTAATTTTTGTTGTTATATTTTAGAGTTATAAAAGAACTTTATACAAATAGCAAAGAATATCTAAAGGAATATACAATCAGTAACTGGAATACATTAATAATGATAATCAATGAAAAGAGATGAATCAACGAGAAGAAATAAATGAATGAGTAGATGTAAGAATTGTCAAATAAATGGAATTGTGGCTTTASATAACACAATAAATATATGAATGAATGATAAATACAAAACAAATACAATACTTTAAGATAGAGTGTATTAGCATATCCTAGACACTGGTCACTAATGAACACARCGGAATAATCCCAAGTGGTTCGAGGTTCCAAGCAAGTCTGACAGCTAAACTCACCAATTCATTTGCCTCGTCAAAAGCCCGCTCAACATCGCTAACTGTAGATCGTTTGGCATCTATAAACAATAAATTTTGTGATAGTACACCTTTTAACATGAGAAGAGTATSGATAATGCCCGAGATATCACAAACCTCCATGTAAATTGGGAATTTTACAAATCTTCGCAGTTATTTCGGCGCTGAGATTTCCAAATTGCTGTTCATAATTATTGAAAAGTTCACTCATTGTGAAGAAAWCTAATTAGGTTATGTGTGAACTGAATTAAAACATAAAGAAATGAAGAGATGTCGCTATGTGAAGGGAATTACAGTAAACGTCAAAGACCGCAGCATCAGACCACCATTTTGAATATTTAATCAGCAAGATCACCTGTGTACACGCGCGGGAGACTTGAAACTAATTTTTTATTGGCTAAAAACTTACATATTTCTTTAGTAAAAAAAGATCATGTACATGAAAAAGTAAGTTTTTCTTGAATTCTCATCATTTTCAGAGTAGAAACTCTCAATAATATTCACAAATGTACCAATTTTTTGGAATAATATTTTCGGGAAGTTGTCGGGGTACCACGTAAAGCAATCGTGACGCATTCGGTCGGATGACATTTCGCGAAGRATTCGCGAAGCTTTAAAGTGACCTTCGGACTGTCAACAAGCGAAGAGATGTCAAGAAAATGGAGGCATTTTGGAAATTTGTAGACTTTTTGTATCACTGGCAATGGCTTCATCTTCTTGTATCTTTCTTAGCTATTTATTTAACTTATTATTTTCTAAAAGTAGTGAAAAAACCGACGATCATCGGCAAAGAAGGGCCGTTTCTTCAGTTTCTGATCGAGAAATGCCCGGTGCTTTCGGAATACTATTATCCAACTATCTGGTGTTTCGGTTCTCATGCACAGACTGTTATTAGAGCTATGCTTCGGCTGCGTCCTCATGTACCATTTAGAAGGTAAATTGATGCTGAAAAATCGAGTTTTTTTTCGAATTTTCAACCGTTCCTTGTCAATGTTGAGCATGTTTTATATTTTATATTGACAATTTGATTAAGAATAYTAAAATAACAATCTAGATATATACTAAAATAACGAAGGAATATTTGATTAAATGCGTGCTTTTAACTCTGTATTTCTATCGTGAAAGGATGTTTTTTTAGTGTGTGAGCGAAATAATCTACAATTTATGATTCGCAACGGGAGGACCCGGTATAGTATTRAAGTAAAAGGTTGTATGTCTGGGGGGGCTTCATCAAACTGTTTTGTTATTGTAACATTTTAATCACGTTTTTCCTTAAATATATTATCAATTATTATTTTGATATAGGCAATTATTATCCCATTTTATTGATTGCATCTATAGTATTTATCAATGTATTTTCTAGGGAAGAGCTTGAAACACCTGATGGAGGAGTCGTATGCTTAGACTGGTTTGACCATGAAAACAGYCACCATAGTAACCCTTCCAAAAGACCAACTGTTTTAATACTTCCTGGACTTACAGGTAAACCATACCAAGTCAAAATCATGGTGTGGACATAAATCCAAAGCTCTTGGGCAATCTATTGTGCAAATATTGTCTTGGGTGGTTGTATAATGGTGTAAATGACGCTATTATACCTAAATTAAAAGGGAAACATTAGCTTACTACATGCCATGTGAAGCTTAACAAATCGAGCTTCTGAAATTTCATCATCTTATTTCTTAAGGTGGCAGCGAAACAAGCTACTGCAGACATTTGGTTCTTCAAGGAGAAAMAGAGGGTTATAGGTKAGTGAAAAACCCAAGTCYTTCCATTACTCCAAGCATCTTGTAATACCTGGCCTTCGTAGTAGTGATGGTTTCCTGGAATCATTTGTTCTCAATATATTCTGCTATTTTATCCACAGGACTATTATTGCTAACCACAGAGGTTTTGGCGCATCACAGCTAAAGGTGTGTCACAAGTCTTATAACCGATTAGAATCGAGGGARGGAAAATTTAAAGATTTAAGGGGGGTTTCTTAAAACTCCAGTTTTCCTATTACTAGTATTCAAGCCACAACTATTAATTATCCTCCAGAATTTATCACTTATTTGAATTATTTTATCTTTACAGACTCCAAGAACTTTTTGCGCTGCTAACACAGAAGATTTAAAGTTTGTGATAAATCACATCCATAAAAATTACCCAGGATGCCCTGTACTGGGTGTGGGGATTTCTATGGGAGGGTAGGTATCAAGAGTGAACACAGGAAAACCAATGTACTATTTTGCATGGATTATGTCTGTGTTTCTGGAGAGAATTGAAGGGGATTAGGCTGGCTGTCTCCTAAGGAGACCCCCACCCCTCCCTAGAGGAAACCCTTGACCTGCCTACTTGTGTTCATGTGACCAGTCAACATGTCTTTTTATATTCCTGTCTAGAATGATCATGATGAACTATTTTAATGAGTTGGGTGACAAAGACTCAGGGCTCATTGCTTGTCTAGTGGTGTCAACTCCATGGGACTGCACAGAATCTACGCTATCTCTTGAACAACCTTTAAACTGGTTACTATTTAACAGACGATTGACAAGAAACCTTATCACAATGGTTAAAAGGTCAGTCACTTGATAAACAAGTCCCAGAGACATTTTTGGATTTGATATTTTAAGCAATTTGTTGAGCAGCGTTTGTGGCAAGGACCTTGTTATCCAATTTTGGATTGTTGAAAATAGTTCATGCACTTATAGCTACCTGACAAGTGTTATTCTTTGCCAGTAACTTCGATGTGTTTCATGAGAAAGTTCCATATGATATCAACCATGTCATGCAGGTGGGTGCAGCCACAGGAAGCCCGAGTAATGCAATTAACTGACAATTTATTCATCAATATATATCTTGCACTTCTCATCCATTTACATATGAACGTAAAATGAACGCATAAAGTTTGCAAGGAAAAAAACGCACACTTTTTAATCAATTGTCATACGTTTCATATTTGTTTATTCATTAATCCATTTCCACACTTATTGTTTCATTCAATCWTTTTTTGTGGTTACTGCCTTATTGAGACAAAAAAACACTATGTCTATGTCGAAAATAAGTTTGATTGTTGGCAATTGGGTGGCTGTTTTCACAAGAAGATCGTACACCTCTCGGCGATTCCTACGTAATCATGCCATTCGATCAATTTATTTGATCAATAAATAAGGCTCGTTTCCAGGTCACTTACTAGTGGGAGAGACCTGGGAACGAACCTCCTAACGGCTGCGAGAGGAGACTAGGCCTTTCAGCGCTGATTGATTGATTGTTTTTAKTTTTATATTTATTTTTTGTGTTGCAGTCGCGATCTGTGCGAGAGTTCGATGAAAGGTTCACTTCACCAACGTTTGGCTATAAGAGTTACGAAGAGTACTACAGCGCGGCTTCGCTACACACAAAACCACTTCATACAATTCGTATCCCTGTGTTGTGTCTTACAGCAGCCGATGACCCCTTTTCCCCTGTTCACGGTAAGACTCACAGCTAATTGGCTTAGGATTTGAAGTTACAAGAAAAACAATTCCAAAAATGAAAACACTCTCATACCTGTTAGCACTTTACTTCACATTTTATAGCCTGTGCATATCCTCCAAGGTGAGGAGGGGTGAGAAACGGATGTGCACAGGCTAAACATTTTAAGGCAATTGGTTAAATATCTTAAGAGAAATCGAGCGAATTTGTAAAATTTTCCAAAGAAACGACAGTGTCATTGGTGGGCATATTCTTGTCAACAAGTGAATGTTTTCTGTAGATTTTGTACTTTTGAAAAGCCGATATCTCGAAATGTAAAAAGGCGTTTGCCATATTTTTTTTATTTTTATTTATTTATTTATTCATTTATTTATTTATTTATTTATTTTGTTTAGCATAATCTTGAATTGTATGGATTCCAATTGTCTATTTATTTAATTTGTCGTACGTTGGAAGGACGTCATTTTTAATGTTTTTCTGTGCTTTGCTAAATTTGTCTCTTCGGCTCTGTAATATCCTAATTAATACGCACAGAACTTGCTGATCCGATTACAGTTTTTTTTTTCTTTGAACTCGATCGCAGTCGGAATGTGAGAATCTTATTCTGCGCCAAACTCCTCGAAAAAGATTAGACGAATTTGTGATGCATGAGCCCTAACCCCGATTGACATTTATTCTTATTTTTAAATACACACATTCTTCTGTATTTCCAGCGATTCCAGTGAAAGCAATCCAAGAAAATCCTCTWATCGTCATGGCAATGACGTCACATGGCGGCCATATTGGATTCATGGAAGCCATCAACATCAATCAAGATAACTACCTAGACCGGGTGTTTGTGAACTTTGCGCGAGGTATTTTTGAGCTCAAACAGCAAGGGAAACTTCAGCAACTCGTCAAAGATGCTCTAAAGCTGCAGGACAKCGAATTAAACAACATTAGTTGACCTCATCTGCGAGATAACAGTTCCCTTTCAAGCTGTGTGTAATTACAAGCTTTTTAGTCTCCATAAGATTGCAGTAGGCTTTTCCATGAAATTAACTTTATTTTCCATGAAATTAACTTTATTTTCCATGAAATTTACTGTTACTTTGACTACATGCATGGTCATRCTGTWGGAGGAGCCGACGGGTTCCTKGGAGAAATATWTCTGTTCTTATATGTCCCAGCCAGCTGTAAGTCACAACTGGTTGCCAGCGAGAAATTCAGGAAAAAGGCAAGGAATACTCTAAGAATTTTGCCAGGAAAATAACAATTTCTTAGCTAAAAAAAAKTGTAAGCCGTTATTGACCATAAACGTTGTATAAGCCTTTTTCGACCTTAAAAACGTTTGCCAAGAACAAATTTATTTTAAAGAAGGAAAGGCSCAATAACGTAGTCCAAAATCCCTTTYCCAKRAAGAAAATCGCACAAGAACAKTTATTTAGAAGAACAGACCCCGTCGGCTCCTCCTGATATTGTAAGGTGGTTACCAGTCATCAATTCAACATCTCACCGATAAAACAAGCTGGTCTCTACAGGAAATAATGACATACGCTATACAATAACTAGGTGTTTAGTCTGTAGAGTAAAAAAGCGAAGATGTAAAAGTTATATAGACACGCTGTCACTGATGTAAAGAATGAAAAAGGATGTAGAATTTGGAATAAAATGTTGTAACTTCCTTCTACGCAAAGTAGAAAATCATGATCACTTACCAAAACTCGCTAGTAGCAGAAAGAAATTCTGCAAGCAGAAATCACTTTTGTCACGGTTACCCCAGCCGATGGTACGTCCAACTCACAGGAATACAACGTCGGAAGCCAAGATTGCGTTGGGTGCACACCCGGGGGGGACTCCCTAATATCAAAGGGCGGGGGTCCTCGGCTGAGATTGTGAAAATGACCCCTAAAAGGGACCTCTATTGTGAGATGATGGGCGTGGCAGTGCTGAAATTTCAACCCTAAAAGGGACCAATCAATAACAGGTCATTTTGTTTTGGTTTACCGATTTTATTTGTGTTTTTACACAATCATCGAACACCGTCGGCTCGTATTGAGTTTATGACGACGTTGCCATTTTATGACTGCTTAGGGTCGCCGTATACCCTAAAAGGGACCACAAAACTCAGTTGGTAGGAATTCTTGTCATGATCACCCTAAGTGGGACCAAAATACTGATTTCAAACCCTAAAAGGGTGCACACCCATAGTTTTTGCTACTCCTGCACTTTGSATGCAGCAACGCACTTCTAACTAAAAGTCGGTATTCTGTACGTGAAATGCGCAGGTTGGATGTCAAGAGGCCCTTCACAAAGATGCCTAATTAACAATAATGATTATAAACAACTAATCCAACATAAAATCAAACATGTTTTTAAAGTGCTACTTGCATGAAAATGACCTTATTTCAAAACTTCAAGCAATACAAATATATGACTCATTTATATATCTATTAAAAACAATTGCAGGAAAATATTTGTCTTGGAATTATCCCACATCAGAGAAATTTTGATTCAAAAGATGGAAGAACAAAAGGATTGAGTAGATGACGTCATCTACTCCAACAATTTTTGCCGAAATTATTAAGGATTTGCATCAATATTTTCTTGAAATCTGTTGCTTCATGATTATTAAACCCATATGGATAGGTCTATTTGATTTCCAAGTCTTTTCTAATGTTTCGCAGATACCAAAAGGTTGTCAAAACACAAGTCACAGTTTGCAAATTCAAAGGAACCTACCATTACACTCCAGAGTAAAAATATTTTTGTTTTTGGAAAGTGTTAGGTTTTGYGATCAGAGCCGGCACCTGTACATCAATCACTTCGCCGAATGCATGATGGTTTTAAGGATTTTTTCGGTTCCGGAAAATAAGACAATATTATCAAGCCACGGTAGCTTTGCTGGAACAGTCTTTTCATAGCCTYTATAATTCTGCACTTTTCTCAAAACAACAGGGACATTTTAAAGTGATTTCAGGAGGTGGTCCATCAAAATGCGGYTTTACGCCAAATATAAGAATTAGGAAATAAAAGGACGTCATGAAATAGTGACCCCACCAATTGGATTAGCCAAGATATCCTGATTGAAAAAAGCCATGTATTTTTCGCACATTCCAAAGTAACTCCTTTTGGCCAAAGTTCAATGAGTTTGCATTTGGTTGTGTGATTTGCTTTTGGAACATCTGCTTCGTTATCAACCGTATAATTGTTGTGAAATTGAAAAGAAAAATTAATAGTCTTTTTACTGGAATTCTGGCTAACTTTTTCAGCTATTAGTCGACGCCTAACATTTAGAATTTTCCCAATGATTGATCCTCAAGACTCGGACTACATTTGGGTAGTTGTTGTTGGATTTATCTTAGCTTTCGTCCTCGCATTTGGAATCGGAGCAAACGACGTTGCCAACTCWTTTGGGACATCAGTAGGCTCRAAGGTTTTGACTCTTCGACAGGCGTGTATTATTGCCAGTATTTTCGAGGTTGCTGGTGCTGTGCTGATCGGTGCTCGTGTATCTGGTAAGTTAAATTCTTTTTTATCTCTTGTACTTTATATAGTTTTATTTATTATTTATTTTTGAGATTGAAAGCTACAGATGATAGAAATACGCGCGTTATGTTGTTGCTATCATATCAACTGTATTTAGTAACTTCGAATACACTATTTTCAGTATACAATGTTTTCTGAATTATCTGTATACGCTGCAAGGAAATGTAACGTGATCTATAAATACTCCAGAGCCGGCGATTCCCAGGGGCCCTAAGGAACCTATTGTGATGGTTGATCATTCCCGCCTCCCGAGGGGACCTGTCCTGCCTACAGTAAACATATCAATCTGAAAGATTTGGAAAAAGGATTTGTATCACGACATGGATTCCTTAGAGCTTTAATTTAGTTGTAGTCAAAGACATCTTTCTTTATCTGTTGACTTTATAAACTCATGATCAAATTCTCGAACGTTGTCTTCGATAATAAAATGTTTATATTAATGTATTTTTACCATAATTCGCCTGGTTATAGTTATGCAATAAAACCCAAAGATTGTTATGTTTTAGATCATTCTTTATTTTATACGGATTAGTCATTCATTCTTCTTCTTGGTTTTCCGTCAACCATGAAAAGAAATAGAGCAACTAGTTAGTAGCAACAGGTAATCGTCAATATAGACATTTAGACATATAGACTATAGACAAATAGATAACCATTAAAATTAACATAGAAAAAACTTGTTTTGTGATGAATATGTTGATACCTATCAATCGGATACAACCTAGACTATTAGTATTGGTCTATTACAAACTACTACTAACTATTATTATTGTGATTTCATGATGATTGACGGAAAACCACTCTATTTACATTTAATAATTATTATCATTATTATTATATTATTATTATTTATTATAATTATTTGATAATTAATATTAACCCATTTGTAAACTTTGATATCATAAAGAACGAAAATGTGGAACGTTCGAGAGTAATGTTGGAGTTTGAGAGTTACCAAGCAGCCGTAAAATTGCTCCGTTGAATCCCGGGAAATCTTTGGCAACAACTAGTATCTGTTCGCCTGCCTAGCGGCTGCCTGGTCGTAAACGTTTTACGTTTATAATTTAAAAATTTCTATAGCGCTACTTAACAATAGCCGATCAACAGCGCTTGAAGCAAGAGATATTTTTCGTGGAGTTCATCCGAATACTAGTAATATCTGTCGGATATAAGAACTGTACACCTTTCCCTGTGATGATTTGGAAAACAATAACGACAATTGAACAGCTCGGTGAAAGGCGTCACAGTTCATCGAGTACATCGGTATTCGGACGCAAACCAGCACTCGGCACCCACCCCACTCCCTATCAAATAATAAATCCACTGAATAATGATTATGCAAACCCTGTATCGTTTCCTAATTCCTGTGCTGAGCTCTGATTGGCTCGCTGSTCCCTAAGGATTTTGGTGACGTCATATATTAGCATAGAACTTCGCCGAATAGACTATCCCAATTAGRYATYAGATWTCTATAAGTGTCTTCATAGTACGATGGTCTAAGAGGGTAGCTAAAGGTATGCTCTAGTGGGCGGCTACCCCCTCACTCCCTGGCCTTTTGGTTAAGACTAAGTTTTATGTTCACTCGGGATAGCGTGGAAGAGCCGAAATCTCTAACCGTAACGTAAGCCGATTCGACGCCTCAGCTTCATAGAATGTCTCGGGGGAATCGTCCCATCTTTTTAGTTTTTTATTTTCATTATTTCTTATGTATGTCAGGGGGGGTACATCTTCTCCTAAAGTGAACGTCGTGAGTTCGAGCCCTNAAAATCAAAAATCCCGCATTACCGCATGAAAAAATCGAAAATACCGCATACCGCATACCGCAAAAACGAATATGGCGTTGCAATTTCGCCATCAATAAACATGTAAACATTATAAGTGTGATAAAGCTAATAAACCTACCAAATACCTTCTCTCAGTTTAGTTACGCTTTTACGTTCCTCCTCTCCGACTTCACAGCGGAATTTGTTTTTCTTTCTATAATGTTTTCCTCCTTTTCCTTCTTCATAGAAGAACGCCACGCATTCTATAATTACTAGGCTGTCAGACATACTTCGGACTTTACAATGTAAGTACGATAACGATGTCACCAAGATTAACGAGAATGACCAGGTAGTTCAGATACCTTGAGGTCATATCGGTCAATTACATGAGAGAAATTAAGGTCTGTGATTGGTTGTATTGATTGTAAAACATTAACTTGAGATGACAGGGCAGCTTGAGATATTAAAAATACACTACTATAAGTCGATTTCCGTATCCCGCAGTGTTAGGTCTGCAAGAATTTTTCTCGCAATACCGCCATTTTAAGCGATTTTTCCCGTAATACCGCATCTTAAAACTTCAAATACCGCATATCGCACAAAATACAAATCCCGCATTACCGCATTTATTTTGCCAAATTACCGCAATATCGCATGAAAAAACGGTCAATCCCGCAATCCCGCAAACCCCAATGTCCCCCTCCGTCTACTAACTATGAATATTGTGCTTTCATGATGATTGACGGAAAACCACTCTATTTACATTTAATAATTATTTGATAATAAATATCAACCCATTTATAAACTTTGATATCATAAAGAACGAAAATGTGGAACGTTCGAGAGTAATGTTGGAGTTTGAGAGCTCTTTTATTGTGTTCCGTTGAATCCCGGGAAATCTTTGGCAACAGCTAGTATCTGCTCGCCTGCCTAGCGGCTGCCTGGTCTATAAAACTGTTTACGTTAATAATTTAAAAATAATTTAATAATTTCTATAGCTCTATTTAAAAATAGCAGATCAACAGCGCTTAAAGCAAGAGATATTTTTTCGTGGAGTTCATCCGAATACTAGTATATATCTGTCGGATATAAGAACTGAACTCACCTTTCCCTGTGATGATCTGGAAAACAATAACGACAGTTGAACAGCTCGGTGAAAGGCGTCACAGTTCATCGAGTACATCGGTATTCGGACGCAAACCAGCACTCGGCACCCACCCCACCCCTTATCAAATAATAAATCCACTGAAGAATGATTATGCAAACCCTGTATCGTTTCCTAATTCTTGTGCTGAGCTCTGATTGGCTCGCTGCTCCCTAAGGATTTTGGTGACGTCATATATTAGCATAGAACTTCACCGAATAGACTACCCCAATTAGATATTAGATATCTATAAGTGTCTTCATAGTACGATGGTCTAAGAGGGTAGCTAAAGGTATGCTCTAGTGGGCGGNTCTTAGTTAGTTGATAACTAAATTTTATCATGCATATATGACTTGCACTCTATGTACATGGTATAGAAAAAAATGCTAAGTGATAGGCTATTTACATACAATACGTGATAGTTATGCTAGAAAGAATAGGTGTGAAGGTAAAAATTACAAAGGAGAGTATACTATTAATAAAAACTGCGCAGTTGCGAACATTCCTGAAACTCATATCTAAGCACTTCCCGAACCAGCATAAATACCACAGCTTCTTCAACAAAAACAACGTAAAAGTCAGCTAAAGCTGTATGGACAACATGAAAACAGTAATCAACAAACACAACATGAAAGTAACAAACGCCTACAACAACGCCAACGCAACTACCGAAGAACAATGCAACTGCCGCAATAGACCAATGCCCGCTAGACAACAAATGCTTAACTTCCAGTGTAATCTACAACGCGCAAGTCACAACCAGCAACACAACAAAGAACTACATCGGACTGACAGAAGGAACATTCAAACAAAGATTCTCGCAGCACAAATCTACATTTAAACACAGAAAACACATCAACGGCACCGAACTTTCTAAGTACGTCTGGCAACTAAAAGACAAAAAACAAGACTTTAACATCAAATGGACAATTATCAGCCTTTGTAATTTTTACCTTCACACCTATTGTTTCTAGCATAACTATCACGTATTGTATGTAAATAGCCTAGCACTTAGCCTTTTGTTCTATACCATGTATATATATCTAGATTATAGGAATGTTTATCATTAAATACTGTCTCAGATGAGTGCGTAGCACGAAACTCGGAGTTACAGCAAAATCTTGCCTCTTAGGATATCATATGTAGTTTTATTTATTATTTATTTTTGAGATTGAAAGCTACAGATGATAAAAATACGCGTGTTACGTTGTTGCTATCATATCAACTATGTGAAATGCGGATTACCTGTGGTATCACTTCACGATCCCGTGCCGCGCGGGATAGCATTTTCGAACTGAGTGAGAAAATGGCGGAATAAATCAATCAAATATATTGAGTCAAGTTCAATCGAAGATCATTTTTATGGATCATTTTTGTGTCATTCTTGGTCATTCTCGGTCATTCCAGCTCGTTCTGGATCATTCCAGGTCATTCTCGGTCTTTCCAGGTAATTCCTTGTTTTAGTNAATATCAAGTACTCGTAAGTAACGCCTGCTACAAGTTCTTCTCCCCAATAAATGCAGAAACTACGTGCTTATTAATATCAACACTGAATTTTAATACAATTGATGTTATTTTCTAGACACAGTTCGCAAGGGTATCATAGACATCAACTCATTCAATGGTACAGAAGAACTAGCAATGGTTGGCTCCCTGTCAGCCTTGACAGGCACAAGTGTGTGGCTGCTTGTAGCAACATTCTTTAATCTTCCWGTATCAGGAACACATAGYGTTGTTGGGGCGACAATGGGTTTTGCTTTGGTGGCGCACGGGCTTGATGGCGTCAAGTGGAAGACGTTTGGAAAAATTGGTAATGTTGTTTTTCAATTTTCCACTTTTTACTGCATCCAATTTCCACCACTACGTGCGCAATGATGATCAAATGCTCGGACATCATTCGGGTTTTGTCTGGGTACTTTCCGGGCACCACTCGGGCTTTGTTCGGCTTTGTTTGAGAAAGCAAGAGGAGATCCATTCACACAATGTTTCTTTAGCGGTATGTCTCTGTTTTTATTTAGCTGGTTCCTGGGTGATATCACCACTGCTGTCTGGCATCATCAGTTCAATCATATTTCTTTTTGTCAAATTTCTTATCTTAAATAAGGTAAAATGACTCTCATGCATTCTTTACCAACCATTCTACAATCTTGGACATAAATAATTTTCAACTGAAAATATTCCCCTCGCCTCCCCTCCCTCCCGCGTCAATGTTGCAAGAAGGACTTTAACGAATATGAACATTAAATGAAAAGAAAGCCACAAAACATTGTATTGGGGGAAGGGGGGCCACGAGGAAAGGTTTATCGACGAATAGTGTAGAAATGTCGTGCGTGCGTAAAAATTGTCAACATGTCCACACTAGATTTTCAGTTTTGTTCACAACAAATGAATAATGTCAAATGAAGAATACAACCTTTTTCCATGCATAAGACCAATCCCAGATATTCGTCCGCATTATCACTTAGTGTAATCAACTGCGAGGTAAGTTTTATGGTTACCTATTCACCGTTGTTTTTGACATTTTGTTTTAGGAGAATTCGTTTGTAAAAGGAGTGRAATTCCTGCCTCTGTTTTATGCTTTTACAATCACCATMAACCTTTTCTCTGTATTCTACAAAGGATCTCACAGTAAGTTTGCATGTATTTCAYTCAAAATRGCGACATTAAGRCTACAAAATACCCATGAAATTACAGCCAATGCGMGAAGCATACGTTGAAAGACAATCGGCGCTATGTGATTGGTTACGACTTTGTGTCCCAGCATTCCTTCTGATTTTCGGTATTACGAGATTGACTGGGACATCAAAATGGAACCAATGGCAGCACTCATAGTCTAATCACCTAACTAATGAAAATATACAAAGTTTTGTTGGAAAAAATCCATGGTTTGAGCCTGAAACTGTTGAGTTTTTGGCTTGATAGTGGTGAGGCCCTTCGAGGACTACTCTTCCATCTTGTCTACTATTGTTCTGCTACAGAGCAAGATCTTGAATGAACCAATTTTTTTTTCCGCAGTGCTGCACTTTAACAAGATTCCTCTTTATGGTGTCCTAATTCTGACCATCGGAGGTGGCATCCTCACTGCGATTGCAGTACATTTCTTTCTSGGACCATATTTACAGCGTAAAATCATCAAAGAAATGCTAGTAGAACTTGACGATAACAGCGCGGTTTGTACTCCAACTTCTGACCCTGAAAAACCTTTTGATGTAGAACTTAAGCTAGGCAAAGACAATAAGGAAAAGAAGAAGAAACAGAAAGAGGTTGAAAAAGATAAGAATGATGTGAAAAAGGACGAGAATCATGAGAATAAAGACGGTGAGTTTGGAGGAAGTTAAAATACACAATAAAACTTTGCTGTCACTATTCCTRCTAAAATAATACGTCATACTCCGTAATATTAAAATAAAGATTGACTATTTCATCTTTACTCTGGCTTTGCTACTGGGAATCTACACTATAGTARCAACCAACTTACAACCGTCTTTTACCAGAATGCAAAGACGATGAACTCAGTCCAGACAACGAAAGTCCGCTGGGAATGATCTCAGATCATAACGCAGACTCTTCTAGTGACGAAGAGCAGCTTATTCCTGATCCAGAATCGGCAGAAAAACACAGCAGTCAAGTTCATTTTGGAGACGTGAGACTTCTTACGTATTCGGTTGGGATGGAAGCGCATAAAAGCAAAATACATGATGATCCTATGACTGGAAGACTGTTTGCCTTCCTACAAATTATGACTGCGTGCTTTGGTGCTTTTGCTCATGGAGGAAACGATGTTAGGTATACTGCAATTAAATGATTTTTATATCTTGGAAGCGTCGAGGAAATAAGTTAGGAGTGTCTACTCGATGCGCGCAAGCCAAACCACGAGCACGCGTCGCTTTCTCGTGACATTAATTTTAATAAGCAATGAACTGTGATCTAAAATAAAATGAGCGGGAGTTTTAAAATGTACAAAACAAATCCCAAAAATACTATCTGAGAATTAAAAAAATCTTTTATAACTTTATTAGCAATCTAAAAAAAGATGTCGATTCATATTATAACGTTCTATTTCGAGCGACTTTGGTTTCTTGTCACACTTAGCGTGAAGCACGGCTCCCGCTCAATTAAGGTCTTCGATGCAGTAAATGATAAAATCCGGCCACTTTATGGATTTASGAGTGACAAATATTATTAGGAGAAAGAACAGCTATCTTTCCACTTTTATATGTCCCATTATAATATTCAGCGTGTATAATTTGAATTGTGTCTTTCAGTAATTGCATTGGGCCTTTGATATCGTTGTGGACTACATTCCGTGATGGTAGCATTCAAACTAAAGTTGATATACCAATATGGATTTTGTTGTATGGTGGTGTTGGTATCTCGATAGGTTTGTGGGTGTGGGGAAGGCGTGTCATCAAGACTGTTGGAGAGGATCTTACGCCAATTACACCTACGAGGTACTATTAATGCATGTTTCATAACATCTCATTTCATCGTATCAAATCGCATAGCGCAAAGCACAGTATATAACAACTTACAGATCACAGTAGAGCAGAAAACGCTAARGCATGGCACGCATAACATCAGGTATAGCAGAGTATAGATGCAGTACAACTGGTGTAGCGCACATTGTAGAAGAAAATGGCACCTAGCGCGTACATAACACCACACATTGTACATGCAGCAACTCGTGACCAGTCCACAACGCGGAAGAACAGGGCATCCAGCGCAGCGCAGCAAAAGACTGCAGGWAGAACACCGCACATCACATTGCACAGCATACCAAAGTATACATGTAACAGCCGCATGTAAAATCCACAGCACAGCATAGATCGCTAATATCAAATCCACGAAGCACCACCTTTGAATGGCCGCCTTGATGCCAATAATCAAGCATTTTTTTGTGTAATCGTTTTCAGCGGGTTCACTATTGAGATTGGTTCAGCCATCACTGTTCTCCTGGCTTCCAACCTTGGAATTCCAATCAGCACCACCCAYTGYAAGGTTGGCTCAGTCGTCATGGTTGGRCGTGTCAGATCCAAGGAGCATGTTGATTGGTCAATATTCAGGAATGTTGTTCTGGCATGGATTGTAACTATGCCTGTTGCAGGTACTTTATATTCCATCAAAATTTCTAAACAAAATTCTTCGAAAAAAATTACCTTATCACTAATCTGAGGAGTTCAGGTTATTAATATTGTTATTTGCGCGTCAAGTWAAGGTTGTCTATTATTACTCGAGTAGAGGAGGCTGATTATTATAAATGCTGTGTTTGTTTTTCAAGGTGCTATTTCTGCTKTGTCRTACGTTGGATTACGTGAGGTCGTGTGAGTTTCCAATATTTTTTTTGTCAATAATAAGGAACATTCTTATTCTTTGTCAGTTTGTATCTAGTATTTATGCTGGGGGAATTAAGGTTGAATAATGATTTTTGCTTGTATATATCAATTGTATTTTAATATTAAAATATGACATGGAATCCGGAGGCGACAAAATTTTGGCTCTGTAATCCGGAGTCCACACACTTGGAATCCGGCCGAATCCACAGCTAAAACGGTATCCAATAATTGAAATTTGGAGGAATTTCTGGAATCCAAATTAATACTTCAAATGTTTCCTAATTGCAAACGAGTCTCTGACGACAAAAATGTCTAGGAAGTTTTGCATTGAKAATCCAATATGGTGGAATCCAGAAATACTTAATGTCAGCCGGAATCCTGGAGCTTGGAATCTAGAATCCTGGAACGYTCCGGATTTTGTGTCATCGGGCAAAAGAATTTTCAAGAAGAGCTTGGAATCAATTGTAACTATTCTCGTACGTATTTTTATATGCATATATTAAATTAATATTACAAATTAAATATATTTTACTTCATCTTCTTCGTTTAAATTTTCTGTACCAAAGCATTGCATGATCACCTTYAGATAGTGCCCTGATAGATGAACTTTCATGTAAATAAATAGCTTAACAACGTTACAGTTCACTGATGTATACATTGGAATAGCCTCCTTGGCAGAATGTTTTTTCTCTCTTTGGTCTTCCTGTGTGGAATTATCCTGACCAAGACAAACTGGTGCCGAGAGATTTCCTTTCTTCCTAGCCCTTCCCCCTCCTCCCCTCCTTCAGATTTTCTGTCTTAACACAGGTATCCCGCAGAATAGAGTTGCCTGCGAAGGTAGCCTTGCGATATATAGCTTGGATCCTTTTAACCCCTCGAAGATGTGTTTTTTAGATTTGGGAGATTTAGTTTCCTCGGAAAAACTGAGATGATAGCCACTCTATCAGCCATCTGTGACGTGTCAGGGTAAAAAGTCTTTTTTTATAATATTCTTGAGGAATAATGAATTCCCGTTTACAAACTAGATTACAATTATAAATTTAGTTGCCATGCTGTTTTTCTCGGATGATATCCTTGTAGTATAGCACGAGCTCGCTTGTATTGGTTCAGTAAAAACTCGTGCYCTCATCAGATTGGCTAGTTACTATTAAGATATCACTTCATATCCTGCGCAAAAACTGAACAAATAGCGATGATAGATTCAGTCTTTTTGTTGCAGCTTTCGTGGAATTATTGTGTGATAGAAGTCGTCCAATTTATGCTGCCGATAAATGGCAATTCTATCCGCGCAAAAACATCCAACATTACATTGTAATATTAGATTGATRCTCATCCTCGAAGCTGCGTAAACAGTGTAATTTCTTGAATACTCTCAGTGACAGTGTTTAAGCGAAGTGTACACTATCTTATTAAAGTAAGCCGGCATTCTTTTAACAATTGTCCTATAACCATGGTAACCAAAATTGTACGTGGACTTTTTGTATGTAAATTGTGGCTATTTTTGATTTTGATATTTAAGCAAAGTCCTGTCGCTTTTTAAGTCGCTTTTTTAGATTAGATTAATTGATTTCGTCATTGCTATCACATGCACTTCCAGAGAAAAATAGAGCGACTTTACTAAGTTCCCCGCGTTGCGCAGCCGAGTGCTTGCACACGGGATAACGACTCCCTGAGCTACAAACATGTACTAATCCAAACAGTGCGAGTCGATTCGTTTTGTTGTGAAAAGTATCACCTCAAAACATTATAAAAAGAAGTCTTTTATTTACGAAACGAATGTATAAAAGTTAGCGTCCATGGTCAAACGACTGTTTTTACGAATAGCACGCGCCTATCGACTTTTTACAACCTTCCTTAAAGAAGTTATACAGAGTTCTTTTAAACAAGAACCAACGTCCCAAAAGCCAGTGAATTTCAGTGAGTTTGATTGGAAATTCCGACTGCGCAGCTCGCACAAGACGCACGCTGGCTATCTCTTGTGCAATGACATAGAACTGCCGTGGGGTTTGACGAGCTCTCACTGAGAAGTTGTTGAGAAATCGTGTTTTCAAAGCATCAAATATATACTAGCTAATTTGAATCGAAAAKAAATGATTGAGTATGGACTTACTTTTGTTTGAGAGTAGCAACAGGTTTTAAAATTCGATCCCCCTTCTTCCCGTCATGCCTCCTTGAATGAAACAACTGTTTGGAAGCCAATGAAAAGTAGTGACCTATACGATGAAATACATGACATTTATTAACGGTATTGGAAACGACAAATCCTAACTCATGACACCATTCATAACTCCAAARAATAGAGAAACAGCATGAGACTAGCATGAGACCTGGCCCAGAGCCGTTCTCAACCTCTAAAGCATTGCGGTCGCCCCACTGGACGCTAACTTCTATACATYCGTTTCGTAAATAAAAGACTTCTTTTTAGAATGTTTYGATGGTACTTTTCACAACAAAACGAATCGACTCGCACTGTTAGGATTAGTAGCTCAGGGAATCGCTATCCCCTGTGCAAGCACTCGGCTGCGCAACGGGGGAAACTTAGCAAAGTCGCTTTATTTTCAAGTAGTTCTTTTGAAGTGTGATTACGGGATTAATTAATGTAGTCTAAAGCTTTTTTTTACAGTGCCAATAACAAGGCTGCTCCAAGATCGTCGGCTCAGTGTAATCTATCGTGTCATTACAGCAATATAAGTTGCATAGCATTTCGTCGAAACGGCAAGTCCCCAAGCGCGCATCGCGACTGAATATAATGTTACTCTTGTTAAATTAACTAGTTATATATCGCAGAATTGCTGAAAAGTAGTGTCATTTTTTGTGTAGTTTTATTTTACTCCTCAGCTGGGCTGCGGTATGTTAGTTCAAAGGACAAAGGTAACTAATGGCATGGAGTTTTTGGCTCCCTTTTTGCTTTGTAGCAGCCGCTTTCTAGAAAAAAATGATATAGTGTATATCATATTTTGACCTCGAAAAAGGGAGGCATAGCTGAAACATTTTCGTAAACTGATTCAAAACTTTAATTTTGATTATCTATCAAAAGCGATCGGCATATAGTTTTCTTATAATGGGGTCGCTTCCTTTACCCTTGGCAGGCAAACTCGAGAAAATCGATTTTGAATCGAGTGAGAAGACCTTTACTACACGTACGGTCTTGTCTAACCACTAAATATAGAAATAAATGGAAAGTTATAGGTCGAATCCCAGCGAGACCGGATGTTCATATTTCGCAATTAATCAAAAGTCTTTCTCCCTGAATAATCTCTTAACCATAACTTTTTTTTATAGTTTCTATATCATGTATCTCATAGTGCCATGCRGTCTTCATATTCATGTCTTTAACCACTATATATACGATATGCGCCTTTGGGTTTTGGTGAAAAATGCAAAAGAACAGAGAAAAACGCAGAATTTTTAGAAATCAATTTTTGCCGCCAAATTTCTTAAAATARTCCCATAATGCTCTAAGGTCACTGTCGGCCATCCCACGTGTAWCATGCGTGTATTTAGGACGTAGCTCAGTATCCTTAAACACATTTTTTCGGTATTTTTTTCCAAACATTACCTCGCTTTAGGAGCAATAGATATCCTTAGAGCATTGTTTYAGCGCATGAATCGTATTTGGGGCAGTTTGGTCGTTTCTGTTTGGTGTACATGAGGTARCCAAGTTCAACTCAGCTGAGACTCGATTCAAAACAAAGACTCGGGRATTGGAAATCGTTAACTACCATCTCGAATTCCAGTTAAGCCATTGGAAGCATAGGGAGGAGGTATGTAAGGTTCAGACAGTTCACTAAGAACTCATTTAGAAAGAGAACTACAACATAGCAGTGACAAAGACTTCTGTCTTAATGCATCTTGTTCACGTGTCAAGCATCYCAAAACATTAAGATTTCTTTCASCAGAGKTCAATTCCACTGTTCTTGGACTTACCATGATCGATCCTCAAGACTCGGACTACATTTGGGTAGTTGTTGTTGGATTTATCTTAGCTTTCGTCCTCGCATTTGGAATCGGAGCAAACGACGTTGCCAACTCTTTTGGGACATCAGTAGGCTCGAAGGTTTTGACTCTTCGACAGGCGTGTATTATTGCCAGTATTTTCGAGGTTGCTGGTGCTGTGCTGATCGGTGCTCGTGTATCTGGTAAGTATTTTCAATAATCTATGYTAATTTGCTAATTTTTTTTATTTAAAACAACAATTCTCACGATTTTTGTACAAACGAGTCCAAAGATCATTGTGTTGAATCTTTGTCGCCATGATTCCATGTGCATAATTTGCCTCCCTAAACAATCTGTGTTTGCGATGATCTAATTGTTTACGTATGTTATAAAGTTGATATTGCTTGTTGAAGTGAAAATTGGCGGTATGGTATTTTGTCATGCTTGCGTTCTCAGACCAATATGAACTTCGAACAGAAAGTCTTGTTTTACATGTACTATTGACCGCATGTTATTGTTCGTATGCTTATGTAAAATTAGAATGACGTAAAGCTTATATGTAAATTGCTGTAATATGAGAAATTACTCACAAATATAGACCCATAGTACAATATCAATTGATATGTAAACTAATGGGCTTTAAAAACCCTTAAAAGATTATTTTGTGTGTAATTTGAAGTCCAGGAAAACATATTTTCGCTTTTGTTTACACTTTTCAGGGGCTGCATATTTTATTTAAGGTCTGCATCCAAACATTTTGACTCTTTTTGACAGGTAGTTGCTTAATCTCTCAATAGTCAGACTAAATGGGAGATTTGTAGCAGTAAATGATCTTTACTTCATTTTTAATACAGTACTTTGCATAATAAAAGAATAAAAAAAAACAAGGCAAAACGGGGGAGGGTCAGTGGCTGGGATTGGGCGGTATGTAGGCTCAATTTTCAGGTGTAGGATTTCACATTTGCTCAAATGTCTTATTTTTTTTCTACTTCTACAATATGTAAAACATATTTGACAGTAGGGGAGGGCCAAAGGTCGGTAATTTGCTGCTATATGTGGTTTTCCGTCATGGGATTTCGTAAAATTCCCCATGGTCAAACTTCTTRTCTTGTTCATTTTGTCCAGTTTTACCTGAAAAAAAAAGCATTTTGCAATCATTTAAACTCAATATTGTTGATAAAAGATATAATATATCAAAAAAGCACCAAAAAAATCCATTTACAGTTTGCCACTGTGTCATTTGACATCTAAAAAAGAAAATAAGGTAAATGAAACAAAAGAAAGCAACAAAACAACAAGGACTGGATTCTGGCCTGGTTTTCGGGATAAAGCTTGTGCACTTCAGTCCAAAAAGATAGAAAGAAATCCMATAATTTAATTTATTAGCTTGCCCCTAGTTTGGGCAGGGACGCTGCTGCAGATTGCGCCCACTACTGTGGGCCCTATACTCTCACACTCACTACCTCTACATTAAGTATTTTAGCACACAACACTCCTCACATGTTGGTTTTTACTGAGGGAGGAAAACCGGAGGACCCGGAGAAAAACCCTCATGGCAAGGGAGAGAACAACACATCAAATAAACTCAAACTCAATTATGGTACGTGCCCGGGAATTGAACCCGGACCACAGGGGTGAGAGGCCAACAGCTTAACCACTAGGCCAGCTGTGCCACCCAAAATTCTAAGGAGGTCATGTAAGAGATATACCATTTCAAAATGTATAATTAACTGGAGCTATGACATTTCTGTTTTGTAGATACTGTTCGCAAGGGTATCATAGACATCAACTCATTCAATGGTACAGAAGAACTAGCAATGGTTGGCTCCCTGTCAGCCTTGACAGGCACAAGTGTGTGGCTACTTGTAGCAACATTCTTTAATCTTCCTGTGTCAGGAACACATAGCGTTGTTGGGGCGACAATGGGTTTTGCTTTGGTGGCGCATGGGCTTGATGGTGTCAAGTGGAAAACTTTTGGAAAAATTGGTAAGTACATGAGCTATTTATTCCAAGAGTTACAGAGATTTATAAGGCTTTGAGAATAATGCTTTTTTGTGGTAAAAAGCAAAGGGACAAGAAGAAAGATTTTGTATAGTTGACGCAAAGCTTACAATATGTTTGACCAATGACAGTGTCTTAATAGAAAAATGTCATTTCACCAAAAGATTTGGAAAGTCRGATTGTTCTTGTCACTTGACATTGTCTAGTGAGGATTCTCTTAATGTTGCCCTAAGGGCTCATGTGTTAARGTCAAAATTAAAAATAGAGTTGGAAAATGAATGTTGGGATGGTTTAGTGTAGTGGCTAATGTGAGGCTTACGATTTTGTTAGAGCTTTTCATAATATATTGTAATGTTGTAATGATAACACACTTCATTGAATTCTGTTCTTCATTAGCTGGGTCCTGGGTGATATCTCCATTGCTGTCTGGCTTCATCAGTTCATTGATATTTGTTTTTGTCAATTTTCTTATTTTGAAGAAGGTAATTAAATGATTGATTTATTAATGACTACTGTTATGACTGTGACAGTGGTTGTGAAAATGGTTATGGTCATTATTGTGATTGTATGATCCATTTATTCCCTGATTTTTTTAAATTTTCAGATTGATTCATTTTCAAGAGGAGTAAAGTTCCTTCCATTGTTTTATGCAGTTACAATTGCTATCAATCTTTTCTCCGTCTTTTACAAAGGATCCCACAGTACGTAATACATTATATTTAAGCAGAAAAGACATAATCATCATCATAATAGATTAAAATAATGATGCATTTTGAAAGAAATGATTGAAGTATTTCCCAACTACATTCAATCATGTAGAGTGTCATTGGAGTGGTTTTCATTAACCCGTGAAACACACTTTAGCRTATTTATCGCTATTACACTTTAGCTCTTTTGTTTTTTATTGTCTCTACGCGACTATTACGATCTATTTCACTCTAATTATTWCACTTTGTTTCACRGGTTTATGAAAACCTTTCTAAATGAGGTGTAACAGTATATCTAATTCAATTTATTTTCATTTGAACTTTTATCATGAAATTCCAAGGTTTTCTTTGTATTCTTCATAGTGCTGCATTTCAACAAGATTCCTCTTTATGGTGTCCTAATTCTGACCATCGGAGGTGGCATCCTCACTGCAATTGCAGTGCATTTCGTTCTTGGACCATATTTACAGCGTAAAATCATCAGAGAAATGGCAGCTGAAGATGAAAACAGTGTAACTTGCTCTCCAACTTCAGATCCTGAAGAAAGATTTGATGTGGAACTACATCTTGACAAAGACAAGAAGAAAAATGGAAAAGATGGAAATAAAAATAAAGATGGTAAGTTCGCTTCTTTTATGGAAATCAATCAATCAATCAATTAATCATTCATTCAATCAATCAATCAATTAGCCATTAGAGAAAGCAGTCAATCTATGAATCAATCATTCAATCAGTCAGTCACACTTACAATTAAATATCTATGCAACTCTACTGTAACAAGCAAGCTAACCATCAATCATTTGTTTCTTGATAGAGCTTAATGGTGATACAATCCATTTGGATGTGAACAATAAAGATACTACCGTCATTTCCAATGCAACGATTGCTACACTAAGCCCCCTTGATGAAAAAGAGCTTATTAGTGATCCAGATTCACCAGAAAAACATGACGATGAACCTCACCTAGGTGATGTGAGACTAAGGTCCTACTCCATGGGCATGCAAGTACTTGAAACTAAAGTCCATGATGATCCTATGACWGGAAGAYTGTTTGCCTTCCTACAAATTATGACTGCKTGCTTTGGTGCTTTTGCTCATGGAGGAAATGACGTCAGTAATTGTATTGGACCTTTGATAGCATTATGGACTACATTCCGCGATGGAGGCATTCAACCTAAAGTTGATATACCAATATGGATTTTGTTGTATGGTGGTGTTGGTATCTCGATAGGTTTGTGGGTATGGGGAAGGCGTGTCATCAAGACTGTCGGAGAAGACCTTACGCCAATCACACCTACAAGGTAAGCAGGCCATAGAATGTTATGAAGTATAATAYGCCAACAAAATGTAGTTTTAGGGTGTATGAAAACCAGTAAAACTGGTTAAACCTCCTGTCAATTCAGACTTTTGACCTGGTGTTTTTATAGGGGTTAGTAMGGTTATTTAAATGTTTATAATAGAATCAAAATTGGAGTAAAAAATACAAAACAAAACACATTATTTTCAGTGGGTTCACCATTGAGATTGGTTCAGCCATCACTGTYCTCCTGGCTTCCAACCTTGGAATTCCAATCAGCACCACCCACTGCAAGGTTGGCTCAGTCGTCATGGTTGGACGTGTCAGATCCAAGGAGCATGTTGATTGGTCAATATTCAGGAATGTTGTTCTGGCATGGATCGTGACTATGCCTGTTGCAGGTACTTTATATTYCATCAAAATTTCTAAACAAAATTCTTAGAAAAAAAAGTTACCTTATCACTAATCTAGGGAATGATTCCCGGTGTGTGTGGCTAGGCCTTACTACTAACCCATACTAATTACTAACCCCTCATGATTGTAAGCCGCGTGGCTGCCAATTGCGCCTTAAACAGTGGTCCGTGTGAAATGATCTATACATGTGAAGCGCCTGTGAACTCAGMCGATATCGGCGCTATATAAATACCACATATTRTTATATTATTATATTGTTATTAATCTGAAGAGTTCATGTTATTTGTAAAAAAGTATTTTGTTGTTACTGATCTGATTTTACTATAGAAATAACCAGTCTATTGAATCATTAACTTCATTTGTAACAATAGCATTTGACTGCGTTTTTCAAGCAAGAATTAATATAACCTCATTGATTTATTGTCATTATAATAATTAATTTATTGTATTTTTAWAGYTTTTTATTGTACAATATTATTAAACATCTATAACTTGTGGTTCTGTTTTCAGGGGCACTTTCTGCAGTATCTTATGTTGGTCTCCGTGAACTTGTGTGAGTTTAATATTTTAGTGGCCTGGAGTAGTGTGTTTGGTAGTTTATTGCTAAGGAAACAAAGGTTATATATTAGCACAGATTGTGACTGTTACAAGTAATTGTGATTATTGAGGGTATTATTATTATTCAGTTGTGTAAAAAGATAAATTCAACACCATAAAAAAAGTAGGAGAAGTAACGTAAGTTACTTAAATCTCCTACTTTTTTACGGTATTGAATTTATCTTTTTACAGAACTGTTTCTTTAGAAACACCGACGCAGCTCACACTAGTTTACCGCTAGTTCCCACCATTTTTATCATTATTCATACATGTTAAATTTTTGTTAATAACTTCTTGATAGTGGTACACATACAGAATATTACACGGGTGCATTTTTTATTGTATTTTCTCATATCCAACATTATTTAGGAATAAGATTTGTACCTCATCCTATGTGGTATACATGTATAAGCTCTACAGATACCCATGTTAGTGACAAGTCTGAATGCAAAGTATCAATAGGCAATGTKCAGCGACGCCATTTTGTGCAGCAAAAGCATGATGGTAGTTGTAATCCTTGCACTTTTCAAAACYCCTAAAAYATCTACTTAAAAGCCATTTTTACACTTTCTTTTTAAAAACGGCACAAATACTTTATTTTTGCTTAGAAAAAGCAAAAACTGGTTAAGAGAGCTCTTTTAGCAGACATATAAAWGTGCTAGTACTACAACTACCATCATCCTTTGCTGCACAAAATGGCGTCGTTGTACATTGCCTATTGATTTGGGAGGCTGATTGATAGATTCTATAATTTATTCAAAATTCAGTAGTAAATCTAGTAAATCTGATTTTCAAAAGGTTTTTGTATGTTTGGATAATCAATCACTAGAAGCTACTAGTTGATCATGATGAGTATTCTCAAATCTGCAGAAAAACATGGGAAAGCAAACTAGATCAGTAAATTTTCAATTAGTATAAATTTATGGTGGTCATTGCTTTTATTGATTGAATAATGCCATCAATAATAAATTGATACAARACCAACATCAAATTTTGGTCATGCACTCTCCATGAAAACTTTTAATATTTAAAATAGCCGAGTGAATTTGTAGCTGATACAGAACAGTGCTCTATACTCATTAGTGCATGCATTTCCTTGTTGTTTATCTATTGTAATATTTAAAATAGCTATATTTCTGAAAATAGCAAAGAAAATAGCCTTTGAAATTCATACAAATCAAGATAAATAGTCTTGAAATTATAAAGACTCCTCGATTCCTTCACTTGCTATGGTCTACAACCCTAATGATGTCATGTCGGCAAATTGCATTATATTGATGTTAGTGTCATGATGGCTGAGGTTCCTTTGTGAAAATATTCGAACCATCTGTTATCAAGAATGATATAGAGGTACATTTGAATAAAACGGCTGAGCAATAGAGGGTACTTACCAAACAGTCATGGGCAATATATAATTCTTGTTCCTTGCACGTGGCCATGCAGTATGACTTCAGTCAGTAATTTGGTCATTCTCATGCATGGTATACCTCGCCAGGAACCCCATGGCAACGTCATTAGGGAAACAGACCATAGTCTTGAGCTTGCTAGTTATTAGGTATTTCAAATTGATTTATACTGGAAATGATTTATAAAAAGGGATGTTTTTGAATACTACTTTAGTCTGGAGAATATTTTTATAAAGTGAGCACAATTTTGATGTTACTATTGAGTGAATTATTATGATTATGGTACATTTTATACATTGATTTTATATTCTGATTAATTATATATTATTATTTTGTTTYATGRGTTAYGGTTGATGTCTACAATRGGCYCTTTGCAGCTGGGGGTCACATGACCACACCTACCTTAAATCAATCAGCAATGACAAAATGATGATCAAAAATGGAAAGAGGAGATCAAAATAAGTAAGAAGACATAGTTTCAAGTCTCAAGCAAGGCTTGCTCTCCAGGTCTATTTTCCTATACATTTCTTTAGAAAAATCAATAAAATTTTACATTTGCTGTCATTTTTGAAGTATTTAAAGTTGAGGATTGAGATTTTGCCATTTTACCAACATAAACCTGCTCTTTCCATTTCTGAACATCATTTTTTGATAGCTGATTGATTTAAGGTAGGTGTGGYCACGTGACCCCCAAGCTGCAAAGGGCCTATTGGCAATTTGATGAAAAAGAAGATATGACAAAAACCAATTGTGTGTGTGTGTGTTTCAAAGCCACACAGATGCTGATGCCTTTTGTTTTGACAAGTTTTGTGATGTTTTTGTTTTTTGGAACAACACACTCTGCTGGTTTTGAGTAATACTCCAATTTCGAGTTCTGGTTTGCTCTGTGTTAGCCTCAAAACCAAGTAACATATTCTTTTGTTTTATTGATAGCCTGTGAAAACGCATGGAATTTRAAAAGRRAKACAATARAATTGATATGAAATCTCACACTTTTATTCTCACAATTACGAATATTTTGCACACAAATGAGGCTAACACAGAGCATTGGAGAATTCGAAACTGGATTATTGTATTTAATCTATATTATCTTGACTTAGTCAACCTCGTTCCCAGGCCCTCATCCCAAGCAAAGGGGATAAGAGTCTGGGAACGAGGTTGTGACTTAGTATTTATATACATGTAGAGTGCAAAGAAAATGCAAGATTTCACGTTTTTATTATTATGAAAAATTACTATTCCATTCTCTRGCTTACTAAAAAGGAACAAAAAAACAACAGCAACAGATTCTACCATTTATAATTTAACTTTCATTTGTATTGATGAGGTGAGGTGAGGGTCACAAGTAGAAAAAAAAACAAAAAACAAAAAAACAACAACAACAAACAAGTTTGATGCTCTGTCCAACATCTTTAATGAGGTAGTAGGCTGGCCAACACTATTTAAGGTGTTTGATGATTTGGCTGGGGTTTTATGTGCACGTGAAGCGCACAGAAAGTAGTTTTTTCATAAACCCTTGAAACAGTGTAGCGTATTTACTATCTTAACTCCTGGCTATCATCAATTGCCGAGTTGGAGAGCCGATCACAATCGAGGATTTTGGACATTATTGTTTATATACTCGTAATTGTTTCACGGGTTTACGGCAACTACTACTTAACAAAAAGATTGTATTGGTACTGAACTTGTAAAGCTTGATTAAACTTCATTAAAATGTTTGCTTAATGAATGACCTTTGTCTGTCTGTATAAATGYGTTTTCGTAGGATACTCGGTACGTTTTCGTAGAATATTCGGCACGTTTTCGTAGTTTCGGTAAGTTCGGCAAGTTTCGGTATTCGGAAACTACAGATGCACCACAACAGCGCATGGGTTTTGAAAACCAAGCTAAAAAAAACAAACATCAAGCGAACAAAGACAATTGACTGTAAAAACTATTWAACTATCCTTTAATAATTTTCTCGTATTTTTTCTTAATTCAAGAATTTTAKGTTTTGCCAAAGTATTCTACATCACTGCACAAGAAATCCGCTTCCTCATTCCTTGTAGAGTGGAGTGATGGAGTACATGCAGTGAACAACAGAGATTTATTTTCGCGGTGGTTTATCAGTTTCGTTTATAAAYWTCGGAAAACGAAGAAACTCAGGGACGCAKTGCAGTGAGACWATCAGAATGATTTGAGTTTTCACGTATCTCCCGAGGTCCAGCCCTTCTTGGTTGCATGMCGGGTAAAACAGTAGATACCCAACTTTAGATCCTCCAAACAGTGTCTTTTTAGCAAAGGCTCGTGCCATAGACCAGCAACCCCTGCGAGGAGYTTGCCAGTGGCGTCTCCCACMGTCAACAAACCAAGCGCAAACTCTTTTTGTGATATATCGTCAATCGCTTCAGTGACTGCATGGACGGAGTTYACGTACATCGAACCCGCTGTGAAACCCTCGGTAATACASAGCAMWATAACAAACCATATATGATTGACCCACCGATACCATGACAACGATAAAAACACCAATAGATGARCGAATGAGATCAACGCTAGAATCCAGGTTCTTTTGAKGAATACATACTTGAGAAGGCCTGGGCAGAAGCATGTGATCAGAAAGATGTATGAGCGTCCCAGGAACTTACCAATATGATAAGTCAGCATGTAGTATGGGTAGTGATCACGTGGTGTTATGCTGTCGCTAGGAAACGCCAGTGTTGTAATGACTGCGTGATTGGCCAGGTATTCTGAGAAATATGTCACAAAGAGACASARGATAAARGGAGAAATTTTCAATGCTGTTTTACATTTTAGTGTAAACCGGTGAATACCATCTTGAAAACTGCTTTTATTRTTCTCGTTTGTCGCCTCTTTGTCACAGTCAGTTTCTCCTGACGTTATTAGTTCAACCTCTTTTCTATCTGTCTGTTTAAGAGGCTCTTTATTAAGTAGGGCGTACAAGAGAAGATAGAATAAGGGCCATGGACCAGTTAATGTCATTGTCGTCCTTGGCGACCAGTTCAGCCATGTTGTAAGTGCTGTAATGGAAGTACAAACCATTTACGATTTCCATGAAAGAAAAATGATTTTATTTTTGGATTATCTTATTATTTGATGGTACTTATAAACAGGTTCAATGTGAAGGATTCGCCGAACCCTAGACCGTGACGATTTAATAAAAAAACTAAAATGCCATAATCCAGGCGCGTTTATCATGCATCAAAAGAGATAATAAGTGTGCTGGTCCACTTTCGGCTTTCGCTCCATGTAAGAGAATCCAGAGAACTAGAGGATTACGTGGGGCGACGCCTTGCGGACATCCCGTTACTACGGACATCTAAAACTAAATTTTCCCTACAAAGCAGCTACTGAAGACAACTCCCTTTACAKCGAAGACAACACGCTATAGTTGACAATCTTAGCTAACTATTAATGCCCGGAAGGTGTCCATTTTATATTTGCACTCCACTGTAATGTCCGCAATGGGGAGTGTCCACTGTTAGGTAAGTTGCTTTCATTAGCTTCGCAATAATGGGGTTTCCGTATTATAGGGGTTTACGGACGGCAGGAGTTGACTTAAGTATGATCATTTAAAAGACTGACCTGTATAGTAAAAAGGCCCAACAAGCGATGCCATACCTATCCCTGCCACAAAAGCGCTAGCGGTTACGGGGTCATAAAACGCTGTCATTGACATGAATGTAATTTCGCCTGTAGAGACACCAGCCTCCATGATACTGACCCCATATAACCTGTATAAAATCTCRCTTGACGACACTAATACAATCAACCCAAAGAGTAAAAACATTATAATAATTATGATTTTACAAAGATATGGTACACTTTGCATGACCCATGGGACAGTGAGTTTCATAGCAAGMACAGAGGTAGCGATAGARAGGACTACAGTCGTTGTGGCGATGTGTGAACCGGCGAGAACATCTTGAGCTGAAATGAGTGCTACTTCATCGTATATCATTGCCAGAAGACCAAVGAAGAAAAATATAATCACAGTTCTTGGCTGTCCGTCTTTTTTCTCCATTTTGAATTTGTGAATCTTTGAATTAGGAATTTGAAAGTATAGCAGTTGTTTTCTTGACCGTGCTTTAACCACTCATCCAATAAACGTTTTCATAATTACTAATAMTGTTGACTCTTTGTCTATCGAAAACCCTGATAAAAAAAACCCTTAAAAATTGTGTCAATTAACAAAAGATGTCAGCATATGTCGTGCAAATGTGCAGTGAATTTTTTTAGGCAATTTTCATGTGTTTTTGCTTTCTGCAACAGGTGTCCACTTAACCTGTTAAACCAGTCAAACAGGTATTTCATACACTTCAGCACTTGCTGATCTCCATGTTTCAAATGGACTGACTTTAAAATATTGAAAAACAGAAAAATGAAATATCAAAGTAGGAATGAAGATTTTTTGGTAATTACAAAGTCGAAACGACAAGTTGAACATGACATTCTGTCGTAAATGATTTTTATCCTGCAATTAGTTGTAATTAACTGCTAATCATTTAAGAATGTTTTGTGTGTTTGTATAATGTAATTTAATGAAACGATAGCATATTTTAGAGTCGAAGTATGTCTTGTGCAATCAAGTAAGGCTCGGTTAACACTACGACATAAGACGCAAACTTTATAAGTCAAGAATAAAAGAAAAGACAAAAGAATGAGACAAGTATACAACATGAGACACTCAACATAAGTATATTTGAGTGCTTTTCATTAACCCATGAAACACACGTTAGCTTATTTATCGCTATTACACTTTGGCTCTTTTGTTTTTTATTGTCTCTACGCGAGGCTATTACGATCTATTACACTCTTATTATTACACTTTGTTTCACGGGTTTATGAAAACCACTCCATTAGGCATAGCCTGATTAAAGACAAATAAACAAAGAAAAAAAACACCTTTAGTTTCTTTCCTCCTTGTTAATATCCAAATGTTAGTCTATTGTCTTTTTGCGCATAATCTTACATCTCAGGGCGAGCCGGCCTTAATTGAAAACTGGAAGTAAAATATTCTTATTTTTCAAAAAATAAAAGACTGGCCTAACCTGACCTTTTTTGAATGACCACMGTTTTAAGAAATACTTGAATATGCCGTAATCCAGAGATTTTAGAAAAAAAAAGGAAAAGATTTCTTTCTATAGACAATCTTCATAGACGTTTGGTGATGTAGAAAACTTACAAGGTAACGCATGGCCCATGTTACAATGATGTTGTTATGTATATAGACGTAATTTGAGTAACATAAAGATCATCTTAACATCTCAAAGAATCTGCTGCCAAGTAGAAATATTGTTGACCAGTATTTACTATACATGTACCACATCAAACAACCATGTAATGCATGTAAGTCATGATAGTATCAAAATCTACATAAAAACCCATCAAAATACCCCCTATCTAATCTACCTTCTCTGTCATTGCTTCAACTTTCTCTACAAATTGAACAATGTCCTTTGCAAACAGCTCTGGTTGCTCAAATGCAGCAAAGTGACCTCCTTTTGGCATCAACGTGTATTGTAAATTGTTAGGAAARCGAGCTAAGACCCATGGCTTGGGAGAAGTGCCCACTTCATGAGGAAATTCAGCCAGTCCTGAGGGTGTATCTATGGGTATGCTACAAAGAAGAGGAATTATTCATATATCAGAAATTATTGTACATCAATTTGTGACAATGTATAGGGGCTGTTACTTAGTCAATATGGATCTGTGTCATGGTCGTGACATGGTATATGGGATAAGTTTTATGTTGGGATAAGGGATCAGGGATCAAAATCTTAGCTTTGTCATTGGGATCATACCTGCTGGGATCTAATCTGGATAGGGCATGTGCTTGAAAAAAACACAACAACAACAACTACAATAACACCAACAACAACAACAACACCAACAACTACACAAACACAAAAACAGGAACACAATATTTGAAAAACAGGAACACAATATTTGAAAAACAGGGATGAAACTTTGAATTCCCTTAACAACCTTACTATCTCTCCTGAAACACTGATATGTAAAGTGCTTAGTAGATCTTACCTGATAAGATTCCACAAGTCCTCATCAGGAAAGTTCTCTTTGTAATACCTCATGGCTGTTGTCATAGAGTTTGTCACCCAGTATATCATGAGATTTGTAATAAGTTCATCTTTAGTGAAACATGAATCCAGGCAGGCAGACGACTCGTTCAGCTTGCAGCCACTTGCCACAGAGAATTTCTCAATAATGTAAGCTGCAAGGCCAGCAGGCGAATTGCTCAATCCAACACCCAGTGAATCAGGTCTTGTTGCTGAAAGGACAAAGACTTTTAAAGACCAATTTTCACAATGTGACTTGGTGTGACCCTAAGCGTAAAATTTATCCCTGTGACCTATCGTGGGATTTTCAACCTACGCGCATACAAGTTGTAGGTCAGACACATCTAGTTCTAGAGCCATTTATAGGGTACAATTCTCTTTTGCAGGTCACATCACTGAGCTATTTAATGCTCCACAGGTTTTTTAAGACTGGAACACATGAGCTTCTTCCTGCAATATGCTCCAGTGAGCGTGCTTGTCTTGAAAATCTGCTTAATTTATTTGTAAACAGAGTGCCTGGCAATTTTTGTGAAAGTTTTATACAATTTATAAGCTCGTTAACCGATATATAAGATTCATATTTCCATCAATCTTTGTTCATGATATGTTCTTTTAGTATGTAGTTTCTATTTTTATCTTGTCATTTCTATTTTGAGAAAATGAGGTTTTTCGTAGTGTTTTCTGTGTTGTCGCTGTAAATTGCCAGGCGCTCTGTTTACAGATTTCAAGACGTGGGCACTCACTAGCGGGAAACCTGTGGTCATGCACAGTGCGTTTTTTACCAGTGTCGAGCAAAGCACTCTTGTCTGCATCAATAATTTCAGGCGTAAAAAAATGTTGTGCAACAAAACTTTTGCTCTTGAGTTTTGCTTCCTCATATYAAATTGGTCAAATGTGAGGGAGAAGGCTCAAAGGGCAAACCTGTGGTGAGAGCAATCTCCCTCAGAATCAGCGCTTCAAGCTTATGTATACCA